AAAATGGTGGTATGACAAAACTGACGAGGTCGAAAAATAACCATTTTATTGACAAGATAGATATAAGAATACTGTCTCATAGTCTACCGTTATAGAATCAGAAGGGACATCATGTTGGAAGAAGACCAGAAATAAATCCGATGTGAATATCTTGTCGAGAGAATTACTTATTTGTTTCGCATCAAGCACCTAGCATCTCTTTTCTATAATTATTTTACTAAGTTAGTTGCTGATGTTCCTGGAAGTCACCATTTTTGAAATAAGCGGGTGTGTGGTAGTATTGACCATCAGTTACTTTTGAAAATCCTTGTGTACGATAGTTCTCTCTTAAAGAAAAAAGATAAATACCAAACGTTATTAATAATCATCATTGATCTATTTAATTCTGTTTCTGTTTCGGCGATTTATTATAAACATAGTGATATTGAAAAAAAATATCCGTTTGTAAAGACAAAGACACATTTAGGAATTGCAATGTATGTTCACACACATAGACATATACTCTGTCTATACATATATATCATACAGAAATGTATTCTATCATTTACAGACATATATAAACTTACAAACCCCTAGAAGTATATGACGAGGAGTTAGTGTCTATTCATCAAATACTTAGATCACCTCTGAGCGACACGTATCTATTAAGAGGTTTTCTGATGTGAATATATATCAGTGTCTAGCTAATGAGAGTGTCTCAAAGGACCCCGTGACTCTTTTATTTTCATTCCGGTCACCGATTCTCAGACCAATTTTGAGTCCGAATTTTTTCCATTTATAGCTCCTTGTACCAGTAACTCTTGTGATGAAAGGAATATGTAATTAAACAGTAACACAAATAGACCAAGCTTAGAGCCTACTACATAGATCTGCATGCGTTAAAGTAGGTAGTACCAATTATTCGTCTTGTAGATGGTTTAAGTATGCTTTAGACTTTCTCAAGTTACTCACAAAATTGACATTCTATTTCTAAGACTAATGATATAGCATCTTCATTACTTCTGATGTCCGTATGTTATTTTATAGTTCTACACCAATATTGCACTTTTGTCAACTCTTTAAAGGAAGAGTCGTAAAGACTGACTTTACGAATGTGTGCCAATCTAAATTCTGGTTAAATTATATGGAGTTGTGCACCTTTACGTATGTAGAATTCTGACAGGAACCGCATATGTAGAATTCTGACAGGAACCGCGTATGTAGAATTCTGACAGGAACCGCGTATGTAGGATTCTGACAGGAACCACGTATGTAGAACTCTGAGAGTAACCGCGTATGTAAGAAAATCTGACAGGAACCGCGTAGGTAGTATTCTGATAGGAACCGTGTATGTAGTATTCTGATAGGAACCAAGTATGTAGTATTCTGATAGGAACCAAGTATGTAGAATTCTGACAGGAACCACGTTTGTAGGATTCTGACAGGAACTGCGTATGTAGAATTCTGACAGGAACCGCGTATGTAGGATTCTGACAGGAACTGCATATGTAGAATTCTGACAGGAACTGCGTATGTAGAATTCTGACAGGAACCGCGTTTTAGAATTCTGACAGGAATCACGTTTGTAGAATTCCGACAGGAACTGCATATGTAGAATTCTGACAGGAACCTTCCTGGTTCAAGCTCTTTTGAACAAATTGACATTTATTGTTTGCTTCTAGACTCTATCAGCAGGGTAACCCTGATGTGTTGTAAATCCTTTATGTGATTTGACATGCTCTATTGACATGTCATAGTCCCAATCACTATCGCAATGAACAGCTGTATACGACGCCCGCTATCTTTTATATTTAGATGTAAAACTACTGTATGTCTGGTCAAGCTAGCGTAAAGCAGTCAAATTCTCCCTGTCGACTCTCTTTGAACGCGTCTCCTAAAGCATGCACATTACGTAAAACGTGTTTTATCGGCAGCGCTGTATAGTGCAACATGTCTTGCGGAAGCGGCAGACGAGAAAACCGGATGTTGCACGGTATGGTAACTCTTGTTTTCGTTCATATTGCAGCCATTAATTACATCACCTACGTTTTTATTCCGATCAACATGCAGACGTTCAATTGAGATTCGATTATGACAAGAACACATGGCTGTTAGGGGTTTTCAGACACCCGCGTAATCAAACAAGCAGGGAACATTACGACATTACCTCCAGGTATCAACACTAAAGATATGTCTAATTGTATTTCCGTTAGGTGCTTAATCATATCTGGTGAATGTCATCCCAGCAAACAATGTCCAAGCATGCCATACCGCCTTCAGTTGTGAGTACACGGCTACCAAGAAGGGACATGGTGGAATACCTAACTGTAGAAGGGAATGATTTTAGTACCATTCTTACGGCGACCGATTATGGAAGATTTCTGTCTTGCAAATGTAATTGTACTTGATTATAAAGTAATTTCATTCAGCGAGCCTTTTAAGCGACTTATACGCTGAATTTAGTTCTCGCATAACGTTTTTCCTTTACGTTCTTTACGTGATTTTATGGAAATCATCATGCGTAAGTGTCGAACGCATCGTTTTAAGATGTTTTGCTCAGCGTTTGAGGAAGATGAATGTCAGACGTATTCTTATAATAACGCAATATGCGCACGGTTCAATATATATCGATAGGACCGGAACGTTTGGTCTCGATCTGGCGGCGAGACTGACAGTATGTCCTGTCAGTGGGATGACAGCTCTAACACAATAAGTAACACATAGCATGTCAGTATATCTACAAATTTGCAATAGTGGTAAGGTTGGAGTCACTTGAACTCAAGATCAGATTAATACCGTCAATAAGCCTCGTTTTGGAGCCGTTTGATTAGTTTTTTGTTCGAATTAAATGCAAGGATATTATAAATTTCGGACACCGTCATTGTCTCTCAGAATGAATTTGTTCGGTAGAAATTGCTTCTTGTCAATTTTCCGTGTCGGCACTAAAGGAAGTGGACGTTGTGATTTGGATCCGGATTCTAAGATAATTAAATGACGACGTCTGCGACAGAGCCGTAGAATTTACCGAATAATCTTAATGAGTGCGTACGCAGTGGTCTGTACTTTAGAGCAAGGCCGGATGTAGACCGGAGACACGTGAACTAATACTTGCTAGGTCACCTCGAAACTGACTCTTCCTCTCTCTGACACCCACACCTGCCAAAACACGATTAATTCCTCGCTCACGGACATACCACTGTCACGCCACGAAACACATCACCAACCACAACAACAAATATATCATTGGTACCCTCTCATTCAGTCACAGCTAGAACTACATTACTTGGATCTTTCACAAAATCTAAATAATCATCGCGTATGCCAATCTGAACTTTACCAGCAAATACCTAGATATCAAAGTACGCGATGTATATTGTGATTATGGTTAATTACATCGTACAAGTATAACGTAATTCTAAAATAAAACAGATAAATTCGAAGAGCATGTGCATGTAATACAGTTATCTAAATGATTAGCATACTGAAGTATTGGAAATTGAAGTGCAATGATTTTTCAGAAGATTTGCTTCAAAATTATACCACTGAAGTTATATTGAAATAAAAATGAAAATGTTAGTTTTTATTGTCGTTTTAAATCACACTATTACTAGTTAATAGCAATAGAAACACTTGCTAATGACTGAGATTACCAAATGATCGATGTTGCCGTCACATGAAATAATTAACAGCCCTCAATATCTATCAGCGGTATAATCAACATTTTACAATTTTATTATCTTTTAAAGACGTCACACGTGATTTTATACAGTATCAGTAAATGAAGCAAATGTAATAATGGTTGATAAATTTATAAACTTATTACATTAATGTATAGAAAATTGCAAGTAAAGTAATTTTCATTTATATGTTGCACATATACTTGGTATTGAAGATAAAGCCGGCATTTTTTTTATATGATCAATTTCTTCAAGAACTAATTAATTCAGGAGTAGAATGTAGATAGTGGAGCTGCCTATGAAATCCGGAAAGATTCATTTCCAATACGAGTTGTTTACTTTATAAATTGGAAACAATTTTCAAACTTATTAAAGCATCTTCATTACTATCTGGCACATCTCGAGCCTTTTCGTTGGAATCCTATTTAATTTAATGAAAGAAGAATAAGATACCCAATAGAACACAAAGCAGTTTTAAATTGCGCACTTCCCGTGTCTATTTCTGAAACCTTAATCAGCGCCTGGCTTTATGGATAAAATAAATAACAGACTTTCATATTTTCGCTCATTATTCATCGTTCACAGACGAACAAAATGCACGAGTTTTAATAATGTAGTTTGTTAACCTAATTTTTGAATCAGCCATTTAAACTGATTACACATTGCACTTTGGATGAGCTTCAGCATTATTCTAAATGTATTGTTTAAAACACGTGATCTGAGGTAGTCGATACATTCCTTTTGACAAATTCAACATTGGTCCTAATAGTGTTGTCAATATTTTTATTTCTATATTAATACATTTTACGTGGCAATAAGATATAAACTTTTCTAATGACATGTATGACAGAAAACAAATGGAAAATTCACAATAGGGAAATTGAAATCATCACATTTATCCCACAGCTTGATGGAAAGCTCTCCATGTGGGTTTCGTTGTAGGAAAAGGTCGAGATAAAACAGCTGATGTAAAAGAGCCTGTCATATCTTTGATTTCTAGTTCTGGTGGTATATGCGATATATTTAGTCAATACATTTATTTTTATTTAAAGACAAGACGTCATACCATAATTTACTCGGTACAAAAATTTGTACAAGGTAATGAGATATAAGGTTTATTATTGACTTAAACAACATGAACAGAGTTATATCCCAGGACAATAAAGTGTACGTGTTAATGAGATATGAAGTTTACTATTGTCTTGTGTGACATATTAGTTTATCCCGGTACAATAGATTAAACATGGTAATGAGATACAAGGTGTTCTTGTATCTTGTATGACATGTACATCGTATATCCCAGTACAAGACATTGGAGAAAACTCTTCACATTGTGTTTTTCAGATTGTTTGAGACAGAGCCAGATCTGAAGCACCTATTTCCGAAGATCGTCCAAATGAACGAGCAGAACAAGCTGGAGTGGGACATAGATCGGGAAATGCTCACGAAGCACGCAGTTTCCGTAATGGAGGGGCTGGGCGCGGCAGTGGAGAGTTTGGATGAATCAGAGTTCCTCAACAGTGTCCTTATCTCTATAGGACAGACACACGTTAAACGACACGTGAAACCCCAGATGTTAAAGGTACGTCTCCTTAGGGCAGACAATCAAGTTTTATTTCATTTGCTGTAGGTTTGTATCTGACACATCTAAACCTTGATATCTAACTCCATGTGACTTTTCTAACCTGAGGTCTAAAAGGTATGACTTTCTAACACATAATTGATAATAGGTCACGACTAGAACTATGCTTTTGGGTATATTGTATATTAAGAACTTCAAAGAAAGAAATATATAGTAATGTCATTTTATCAAATGACGAATAACATGGCAGACATAGTATCAAATATATCACCCATGTTGTATAAGCATATTTGCAACACAAACAATAACATAATTTATAATATAGCCAAAAAAGTGGAGCACTAAAATGCGCCACAAGACTGCAACGCTGTTAATCATAATAGTTCAGCAGCTCTCCTCTATAGGCGTGTAAATCGACCTTTTAAAATCAGCGTGTTATTCATTATTGACCGTCTAAGACTCTGTAACGAATTCCCAATGATTAAAATTGTTTTTCTGATGATTAACCTATACATTGAACATCTCTAGGAATTTCATTAAATAGCTATCAGTATTAATGCACGGAGAAATTAGAAGCAGCTGTACTAATACAAAGTTATTCCCCAACTATTGACCTTCAAAAGGCTTAAGCAACAAAATCTCCGGGGCTGATGCTGGAGGCAAATCACATCTAAATCTGATATCTCGCTCTGCTTACCAACATGGTAGATGAATACGATAGTAAAGCCTTTTGACTGTATTCTAGCCCTTAAATATGTCTAAAATTTGCAAAATATCTTTTTTCTGCTGGCTTATACATAATTAAAAATAATCGTGCTCTTCAAATGAGCTAACTAATTTAAGCCGCCGTTGAGAGATAATAATTTACTTTATGCCTAACAGAAACATATTAGTATGTTTTTCTTTAAGACGTATCCTCTTCTGAACTAATAATATCTACCCTTCATCTCTTGACGGGATTTCCATGCTAGGATCTCCAAGAAGGTCTTAATAAGAAAATGAAAAGTTGTATATTACAGTATCAGAAAATGAAGAAAATCGAAACAGTACTGTTAGTTTCAAAGGGTGTGCTTTAAGTTACAACGGCCATGCTGTATGCTTCAGCAGGGACAGGAGACGCATTGTACGTTCAATGATATGCATGTGTCTCATGTGTCAGAACGTGGTGTACGCTTCCGAGGTGGCAGAAGATATGTTACACGTACATTGATCTACTGATGTCTCGTGTCAAGGCGTGCTATAAGCTGCTGAAGTGGAAGAGAAGGCGCAATACGTACTTTGATGTACTTGGTATCATGTGTTAATGAATCCTATACCCTTCGGAAGTGGCGGAGGAGACGCTGTATGTACTGGCATGTCCTGTGATATCACGTGTCAGGGAGTGCTATACCCTTCAGAGGTGGCGGAGGAGACGCTATATATGCTTATATGTCCTGTGATATCACGTGTCAGGGAGTGCTATACCCTTCAGAAGTGGCGGAGTAGACGCTATACGTACTGGCATGTCCTGTGATATCACGTGTCAATGATTGCTATACCCTTCAGAAGTGGCGGAGGAGACGCTTTACATTGATATATGGCTCGCGGTGTCACGTGTCAGGGAGTGCTATACCCTTCAGAAGTGGCGGAGGAGACGCTTTACATACTGGCATGTCCTGTGATATCACGTGTCAAGGATTGCTATACCCTTCAGAAGTGGCGGAGGAGACGCTATTCATACTGGCATGTCCTGTGATATCACGTGTCAATGATTGCTATACCCTTCAGAAGTGGCGGAGGAGACGCTTTACATTGATATATGGCTCGCGGTATCACGTGTCAGGGAGTGCTATACCCTTCAGAAGTGACGGAAGACGCTTTACGTACTGGCATGTCCTGTTATATCACGTGTCAGGGAGTGCTATACCATTCAGAAGTGGCGGAGGAGACGCTTTACATTGATATATGGCTTGCGGTGTCACGTGTCAGGACGTGCAATATGTAACATAAGTATCAGAGGAAGCGTGATACCGATATACGTATCACAGAGCGTGCTCTACATGTCGCAAGGCGTGAGTGTAAAAAGTGTCAGAGAACGCGAGCTTTTTATCTTAGAACGAGTTGTTGGTGTCTGAGGGCGTGTTCAAAATGTCAAAATTGTCAGAGGACGCGTGATACGTATCAAAGTAAGTGTGATATGTGTGAGATGATGTGGTTATGTGTCAAAGAACGCAATGTACATGCTTGAGGACACGATACGAGTTATATCGCGAGCGTTGCGTGCCACAGTGTATACATCTTACGTGTAATAGGGCTTTCTGTAATTGTTTATGTAAAACTCGACGTATCAGTAAGTGTTATAGGACGTTCTATGTGGTCAGATAACACACCACTAACATGCCCTATATGGAATCCGAAAAATCACTGTATAATTTGTTTACGTTTTTAACTGTGTGAAGCAAAAAAATGTCAATGACTCGTTAACTGGCTGTTACATATTGTTAACAATGTAGAGTACGATTATACATTTTCAATATTTTTGCCAAAATGTCAATGTCCTTAATTATGAGTTAAATTTCTTTCTCAAACAAGCATTGTTCTTGATGAATGATATTGCACATGTTCCGACAAATGTCTACATTTCATAAAACAACCGTGTACAATTTCCAATGTAGATAAATGACGGCATTAGTTGTCACTGCGATTTGTCTTCCTACTGCAGATACGCTCCACACTGGTCGTTTGTTTGATGTAGGTAATACTGCAGTCATCGGAACGTTACACGTGAATTGTTATTTGATTGCAAACATTTATCCAATATATATTGTCAACCTAAAGAAAATGTTTCGGGGGAAAATAATGACGTTATGTCTACTGAATCTTAATTCATGGAGATACCAAAAATGTTACTCAAAGTCCATCGCATCCAAACTTTTTAACTACAAACAAGCACTGCAGCAATTGAATGTAGATGACCTAAGAACTGCTACTCCGTCAGCTTGTTCTTCTTCTTTTTCTTCTGATAACTATGGTCCAACTGGGCACATAGTTACAGGTGATTTAAGCATTATTCAAAATGTTAAACTACGAGAGAGTTTCATGAAGGGTTCGTAATATCGTGAAACCCCGAAATTTGATTTTCAAGGCACTTATGGATTCTGTTGAAACTATGCCAGAGAATGAGTGAAACGAGAACTTGATGCGTTGAATACTCTTTCTGAATGAGTTAAATTCATTCGTTCGATCATTCTTTAAATAATTTGTAGCTTGAAATCTAAAATGAAAACCAAAGCGCTGGTCAGCATTCATCGATCCTGATGTTAAATCCGCACTTCAAGATCGACATGACAGGTATGTGTTTATGCTTGCAGATAACGTTATACCTGTCTGCAGACATCATTATATTTCCTGTATATGAAAGACTAGATTTGCTAGATTAAACCCCAATTTATACATAATGCAATCTTTCCAAAGAAGAAATACTGGCTGATCATGCTTTGATATTACAATCATTTAGATTGCCTATTAATGGCAAGAATAGCGACATCCTCCGTTTCTGTTGCATTCCTTAACTTCACAATAAACCATTTAAACAATGTTTGATTTCTTGCGCATATGGCTGTTCAACCAAACTTTTGTTTAAAAAATACGAACCACCACTCTTAGCACTATGAAATTTAAGTTTTAGATATTTTTTTTTTCAATGAAACCAATATGGACAGCTTTTCACCACGCTGTATGATAAACGTGATATCAATTTCCCTTCTGTGAATTTTCTATTTCTGGATAGCAACATTCATGTTTCCCCAATCTATAGTGTTGACATGTCGAGGTTGATTCGATATTCAAGGACATGTTACCATTTTCCCATTTCGGTCGTCATAGTGATCTCATTGAGAAATATTCTATTTCTTTGTGCGATATGAAGCTTCACGCGTTTGATGCTCGTTAGCTTGCCTGTTGGCTCCATTGTTGTGTAACTGTTCTAATTTGAGAACGTGACAAACATTATTTACTTGGATTGCCCAATATTTACATGAGGGATGTCATCGATGAAGCAGAAGACGTTAACTCTTCCGGAAGACATGGTCTTATTCCCTTTGTACGTATTCAGGAGTCTCAAAGTATTTTTTTTTGTTTATATGTTGCTCTAGTTTTATTGAATTTAAGTTTGGATTAAGATTATGTTGACATGTTGGTATATTATTATAAATTATCATTGCGCTTTTGGGGGGTTAAGGTGTTTAAAATTGCAGATTTTTTAGATGGACAATTAATTGATGATTTATTTTATTCTAATTATCTTGTGGATACCAGACAAAATTATTCGGCCTGAAGTGATTTTTCACTGGTTCTACGTTATTGATTTCAGTGGGTTATATAACCAATATTGATAGTTAGCGTTTTGTCTACAGAGAGAGAGACTGACGATCCCTGATATAGAGACAAATGTGTGAGACGACCTTTCTTGTCTGCAGCATTCACGCCGTAATAAACATCGTGTACATATATATAAGATAAGAGGTGAACGAATGATATCGTTTCTATAACACGTGCAGTGTATATGACATGGTACTGTTAACAAATGGTCTGTAGTGTCCTAATGCGGTAGAACAATTGATAATTAACGTCCATTGTAATGCTGACAACGTCAGATCTAACAGAAAGTCATTTTAGGAGTTTAATGTCAAACGTTTTATCAAAATAAATCGTTCTCTCTTTAATCTAAACTTATTGATACTGAATTATTTAGTATAAAATCTCTTCTTAAAATCTGCACCAAAATACCAAAATGACAACAGAAAAATCTCAAGAAATTCATAACTATTTGAGAAAAATCAAACTACTCATCAAAGATGTATTTTTTAGAATCAGTAAGTGTATATCGCAAGGATAAAGTTCGCGTTGTTAATGGATAAGCGTCTTAAGATTCCATTATCAAGTTAAGAATTAACAACATGTTGTACGTGTACGGATTGCAGTTTTCTTGTGCATTTACGTATATACTGTTGATAAGTTCTACATGAAAACAGGTCAACTTAAGTTTTTAAAAGTCCTCGGGACACAAACATCAAAACGTAATGGTAGTTAATGACCTATATAAGGAAAAAAAGAGAAAATCCCGGAGTTTTTCCCCAGTTGACACACCCCTCTTTTTCGCTGTCTGACTACTGGGGTCCTATGGCGTTATTGAAAGTGATCTTCTTTGTTCTTTGAAGACATATAAGTTCTAGTCGGGTAAAGTGCTGAAGTGGTACAAGTTCAACCAGATAAAGAAGATGAATTCCACATGTATCACATATACGTACGTATGTATTTATTTGACTGGACTTACACTTAGCTACATGAGGCTACAAAAAACATGAATGTTATACCCTTGCGACGTATGTATCCCAAATGACGTCACTTCCCTACAGACTGCATTTCTTATCTGATTTTGACGATACTTCACACACTCGTTTACAAGCATCACAGCTTCTATGATTAGAAAAATGATGTCACAATTTCCCGATTGTTAGGATAATTGACACACTTGTTAACGAACATCAACTGTTGCACGATATAAGGTAACAATTTAAACTAATGCATGTTTTCCACATTGAAAGACCGGCTTTTGGAACGTGCAAGTTCACTCAACATTTGCATTCCCCTTTGCAATTTGTACTACCTGTTAGACGCAAGGGTATTCATATCGTCTGCGATGCCATGTTCTGTTGGGGATCTAATGGAAAATTGTGAATGTGTAAAACACTTGCCATGACACCTCACGAACTACATAAAGACATTCAATTCTTCCAACACAACTTTCCTCTGCATTTCAAGAACGGGAAACCCATCAGATAACATAATGAAAAACTTAAGTAAGATCGGATACGCGAATCTCAAGAGCTAGAATGTATTTCATAATGTATTGCTACACCATTATCCTCTAATGGTAAAATGCGCTTCCTTCTTCACGTGAAAATCAGCATGGTTAAGCAGATGAAAAACGTGATTTAGCATGCATTGACTTTAAAGTGGTACCATGGTGACAGATATGTATTAAGGGACGTTGCATGTGTAATTAAGGATGAGCGTTGTAAACTAAGTTTTTTACTGGTATATCCCGTTAAATTAGCTTTGCCAATGTGCATAATATTAACTTTATCTTGTATATAGCCTATGCTAATACCTCCATGCATATTTACGGGTTTCATTACGATTTCACAGTTTAATGTTACCGATGGTATTGTATGCATGTACGTCCTTGGATCATGTGCTGGGCGCGCTGCATTGTCCTCGTGTGGGCGATAATCTCGTTCGTTTTACCAACAGCAGAGAACAATGACATTATTGTTCTTTAGCTGGATTTAAAGACCCATTAGTTAACCCAATAAGATAGTATTCAATAGAATTAAACCAATGCACTGAGTATTTTCTCCAAGGCAACATTAACCTGCTCGATGTACAAGACTGGATTTTATCTGTATTTGAAAATGGCAAGATATTGAATAAAGACTGAATAAGACTGCAAAATAAACTGAGCAGGCAGTACTTACTTCATATCAATAACATCGTCTATTACATGAAGGTATGGGGTTATTCCTACGTCGGATTTGTACCATCTGTACCAGGCATATAGAGATTTTGAGAAAACTTCTGAACTTGTAAATGAAATTCCCGTATCACACGATTTGCCCGTATATACGATATAACTATTATAACTCCATTTCAAAATGGAAATATTGCAGAGAACGACTCCAATGAAATTGATCCAGTGACGACTTTCTAGATACAGAGAAAACTGGTGACAGCCAGAAGAGGCTGGAAAGACGTAGCACCGTCTTATTGAAATAGCAGAGAACCGGCAACGACCTAATGAGGTCAAAGAGACAACGAATTCCTGGCACATTGCGGCGATAATCTACTGAAGTCGAGAAAAACCGTCGAATCCCTTCCGAAAACTAAGCGATCCGGCGACAACCTCTTGAAGCAGGAGTGAACCGATGACACCACACTGCAGTCAAGAGAGAACCGGGGACAACGTATTGAACTTGGAGAGGACCAACGACGATCTAGTGAGGTCGGAGAGACCTGGCGACGACTGTCTGAGAGATCCGGAGTTGAAGTTCTTATGTCTGATAAATCAGTGGATATTTTAAGTTCAAAAGAGCCTGACATGACCCATTAAAGACGTGGATTTTTCAACCGAGATTCATAATTAGTAAAGACAATAGCATCATTCATTTTGTCTTATGAATTATTCATGGAGACAGAATATGCAAATTACATCTAGGATTTAGATAGGAAACAATATGCTACCAAAGGCAAATAGCCAGGATCTATAAAACGTCTTTTAGTTGGATCACCATAACGCACGTGTTATCCCCTTCTCCATCCCCTACCGGGCACGTGTGCCAAGACAATCTGAATGCTGATAATAAACCACTGTCCGTCGCTGTTTCCTGTTTTATAAGCACTGATCTAACCTTGCTATTGTATAGCTACGCCAAGAGAGACGTCCGCCTACGAAGTCGTTTTATTGATACAATATCTTGTTGCCATGTAAGGTATAATTAATGACGTGCTGTCGGCGTTATTTCTAAATATTTTGACATCACCACATGGAAATCTGCATATGGTATCATGCTTTTGTGTAGGAAACAACAAGTGCCCTGTTAGTATATGTGATCAGAGAACAGCGGTATGTCTCTAACATCCGTATAGATTAATCTGTGAACATGACTTTCGTGACGGTCTTTATCGGTGTTTAGATTGGTATTCTAGTATGAGTACACAAATCAACACCTACACATATATGATAATATCGTAACTCTCAGTTTGGAGTAGAACCGGGATAACATGGTCAAAAGACGAGTTTCTGTGTTATATATGCTGTCGTTAACGCTTTCATTGTAACAAGTAATCCAATCAGATGGTGCTCGTTGTACATTGATGATCATTTCCTATAACGTTCCAGTTTGTCACGATATATTTCTGGCTTTGCGAGGAAGTATAATATAAGTGTATTACCTACCTAAACATGCAGTAGACACATGTTTTGTGATTTACCCACAAATGAATAATCAAGTTTAGAACTATCACTGCTAATATTGAAAACAGCTGCCACCCATAATTTGATGTTCTAGCAAGTACATATTGAACCATAATTGATAGTGAAACATTAAGTTACAATGTTTAACATTTCAAAAGTGAATAATTGATATGAAACAACTATTTCAATTAATGTGCTGATCAAGTTTAATAAGATCAGTCATGAAGAGACATTGTATTAGTAAGGGTTTCGCACTGTTGTTTCGTGCAGCAATTATTTGTGTGACCGTAATTCTAATTAAACTAAATGAGCAACATTATAAATACAAAATGTAAAAAAAAAATTAGGAAGTGTTAATATCTAGAAACGATGAGGACAAGAAATATCGTCTTTGTCCCAGAACATAATCAATATCACTATTGTATTTTTCTCAATTGGATTTAGTTGATAGTTATCGGACTTTGCATGCCAGTAATCCACGATATGCGGTGCTATGCTTTGATCATCCTTGTATTTTGTAGGCATATTATACCTAGATGATAGTAAATCCCGATGTAAACTATTTATTTTCAATCTTCTTAATTTTTTTAACATTTTTCAGATTTTAATATTTTTATCGTGTATTATTCATATTATTCATAGTATGTATCACTAGCAGCTCAACGTCTGATCCTACTGATAGATCGATGTGAGATTTGAATTCATGAATTTTTAAAATTTTTGTTTTTTAGAGACTTTGGCCGTCCCTGAATTATGGTCTAAAGCAGGTGCTGCAGTCTAAATACAACAAGGAGGTCAACGAAGCCTGGAAGAAGGTCTATCTTTATATCATCGCACACATGAAGCGGGGCATGGAAAACCCTGACCTTGAAATGGAGTATGACCACAGATGAGGCTGATGGGCGCTCCGTTTACTGTAAACACCATCGAATTGATCGTTCATGACGTAAAGCATGCATGGTTTGAAGGTCAGGTGACTGTTACGTAAATCATGATGTCGTGTCAGATTTTTACGAAACAAAGACTTTGTTCCGTAGGGTATGTTCGATATATAGATAGCGGGGATTGATGTCTAAATGTTTGATCGATGTTAGATTAATACATGTGTATGCTTTTTTCAATTCATTCTTAGAACTTTAAAATGAATGTTGAATTTCAGAGCCAAGTTTATTTTGGCCAGGTTATTATCTATTTATTGTAAACAATCGATACTGTCGTAAATCGGAGAAGTACACAATTACAGTCTCGAACCAACATTGCGAACCTTCAAGTTACACCCACAAATATTGTAATCAAGAAATCAGCAGTAGTTTTACACAAACATCGTATTTAACGAAGGAGATGATGCCATTGAAAGGGAAAATTATCTTGTATGAAAATTTACATATATTCATTGATGATGTCATCGCTTCCTGTTATTTGTGTACTACGTCATACAAACCACAGGGTATGATTTGTCTGTTTTGTGTTCCATATAGTTTTATCGCTTGTTGTGGATACGTTTACCTTGGTAACAAATTTAATAATACTGACAATTATTGCATTTTTTCGGGTGGTGAAATAGTTTTAGGGACCATTCGAAACTAAACTAATTGCATAGACAGGGATGAAGTTTTGTTATCACATAATTTGGTAAGAGTTTTTTCACAGAGTAGTCGCCTAGGCGACCTTGACTTAAATGTATGTGGAATGCCTCCATTACTTCTGCTTAAATATCTTGATGAAAATGTTGTTTTTTGTTGTAGGTTATTGTCAATATGAAATTGTAATGTATTTCAACTAGAGTGAGAATAATATGGTATACATTGTCTTTATATTAGAGTGACATACTGACAGAAAAGTTTAAAATGTCCTTTCATCCCAGTATCTTCAACTCTGTATGACATCAGTATTATAATTTCTTGCTCACATTTTCATCAGGCGATTGTTGCTAAAATTAGAAAAAAAATCTCCAAAGAAAAAACTTGATTGAAAACAAATGGTAACTTTGACTTTATTTTCAAAATTGATCAGTTGTTGGATATGTGTATAACACAGTGTATATGGACGTCTATAATGACGTTGCAGAAAGTAGTTTTTAAAAATAATACAAGGTTCATCTGCATGTTCCATACCCTATTTGACCCATATTTATTGACAATAACACATGTTCGCCCCTGTGTGTTAAGTTGACTTATAAGGTAAGTTTTGTCATGGTTGTTTTTTCTCTGGTGATATAGCTCATTAAAATTTTTCATGTATAAATGTAATGTAAAGCGTAAGCACATAATAATTGTTGTAAGATACATGGATCCATTTAAACCAATTTTCAACACGTTAAGTAATATTAGTTGGAACATCATTTCATCTCATAACACCATACCTATTAAAATATATTTGATATCAGACACAGCCTGTATACTCATCAGAAATATTCTGTGCGATAAATGTTGTAAAGTGATATTTCATTGGTGAATATTTTCGACTTTATAAATATTGACACGTAATTCAATCAAAAAATGGTATCTTGATCATTTTGTAAAATGGGATCAATACACACTGCTTGTCATTGAATAGATAACACCATATCTTTTCGTTTTCGTGTGTATTTTGTACATTCTGTCAAAAAGATTCTAACAGGACATTTGTCAATTCCTTCAAGGACGTTCATAATCGTAAGGATATATAGTTTCAACCCTTAAAATGAAAACATCGTCTATTGACCCAACATCATCTCTGACACAAGACAATCCTGATCAGTTTTGATGTCAATATTCTTCACGTAATTGACTCTGCAGTGGTTTTATACGTCATTATCACACTTCGAAGTCTAATTTTACTTTAGAGAATAATACTTTTCCTAAATGAATACTTTTTTCATCCAACAAAATGTCAAAGAGAAATGAAATAAAAATTGATATCAAAACTCTAAGGTTAATTAGTTTTTATTTGCGATAGAACCTGGTGTAAAAAGGTTATTAAGTACGGCTTGGTTTTATAACCACACCACAAAGGACATCATGTAGTTTTATAATCAAATCTTAGATCATTACATAACATCGAATGTGAACGTAAGCATCAACTGGATATCGGTTGATCAATCTTCAAGGGAAGCCACAGCACAAATACTTCACCACGCGGATAGTTAGATTCACTTCTGGCGGACAAAGCCGCGAAATCTGGTTGTGATATTAGGATAATTCTTTCTGCTAGATGTCCTAGAACTGATGCTGCAGATGAAGGAACCACTGAGAACCCACCTGAATATATTGATGAACTTACCAGAACAATGTTAAGGTTAATGGACTCCATATGAAGATGAAGGTGAATTGAAATACTTGTTTCAAGGAATGTAGCTAACTCTGCTCATCTATAGAGATTCCAACGGTACAAATAATGGTGAATCAACTCACCGCTAGTATAATTCTACAGTGCATTTTATTTAATCGCCATGTTGGTATTTTCTTGATTTTTTTTGGACACAAAATATTTTTTCTTTTATTATTGTCTGAATAATATTTGCCCATGTCAGTGAAATGCGATGTTTCGATATAAGTCTCTTACACACATAGTTAACTACTTAATGTTCTGTCATGGTAACAGAGTTAGAGAGTGAACTTATATTCCGACGTGGCTTGGAATTTATATCGGCGTCGAAAAGAAAAGACAAATGATGATGTTTTGTCGAACAATTAGTTTTTTCAGGTCTCCAAATATCATATCTATGCGTGCGTGTGTGCGTTCTTGCTTGCGTGCGTGTATTTGTGTGCTTGCAATACTATATCTATATTTTGTGCGTGCGCGCGCACGTTTGTGTGTATATGTGGGTGGGTGAGGGGCAATTGGTACATTGTCCATTGTCATCGGCATTAGGTCGGAATGGTTAACGTCAGGTTAATCATAGCTAGACCTTCCCAAGATAACATGCAGTACCGAGCAGGTGGTTTGTATAAGATAATACAACTCTACTGAGCACCACGAGCCAACCATATGACGCTGAAGAGGGCGTAGCTATCCTTTAAACAACCTTTATATAATCCTGTATTATAAGAGTCGGTGATAATTAACACTCTACATTTCCTCTTTCTGACAATGGACACATATAGGACTATACATAAGTAGCGCCGAAGTGTCGCTAGTATTATCGTTCTCCTATTAAACCTCGTACAGATACTATATAATTTATCATAAAATAAAATGCTTTCGGGACTGATGTGGGATCTTACATAGGTATGTAGGTATTTAATATGAGTTTTTAATTATTTTCTTACTTGAAAAGCCAACATCTTTTGCTGCATTGGATCGTAATACTACTACAACTAATTATACTTCTTCATTAAAACTGCTCGTAAGAGTTACGATGCAGGCAAATTGGGGAAGATGCTTGGTACCTGCATGGAAGTACACACAAACTTCAAGTCCAGACAGGAATAGTCTGCAACTGTAATCAAGAAATTGCCTAAACTACTTACATAACATAGGGGTCAAAACAATAAAACCTGGTGCAGATTGACTTACAGGTTTGTTTATTTTGCAGTACCATTGAAAGTGTTGGTTACTAATAGAAACGTTGTCTGTGTGTCTAAAGTATATTATATACTTAAGGAAACGTCATCAGTTAGAATTCAACAATATGAAAATTAGGTCTAAAGGACACTTACTGTTCAAGTATAGATTGGAAGTGCAACAGATGATCAGATGGAAATGGATGGTATATTTCATCTTGGTTTCCTGTGTAATTAATCAACAGTTCAGGGGAGCGAACTCTATCTTGTATTTACTTAAGGTATTATTCTGAGTGGTTTGCACTTTTAGGTATTAAATGACACTGTACATCTTGTTCCCGAGACAGGACGGAGCAATACAGTATATAATTTCGTCGCAGTGAAAACTATAAATTACAAACAGTTTACCCAGAAAGTGTCATGAGACATCAGACGCTGTGAGATATTTGGCCATCCATCTACAAACAGTTTGTTTATGAACAGATGAGTTAAGTCATCTCCGTCATGAAGAAGCTTGAATGTATTACATATAGCGATGATTTACAAGATAATAATTTGCATGCAGTAAGCCATGCGCAACGCGCGCAGACACAACGTGCAACCATACACAAAAACAGCTGTCACTACCTATGTCAATGGCATAAAACCATGCAAATTGCATGGAATTATGTAAACGAGAGGAAAGTTCGTACATACCTACAATATAAACTGTAGAATGTTGATGTATTCATTTAGAAATAGTTACAAAACACTAAACTGTCATTACAACACTCCAGAATGCCCGTGTCCTTAAATACAAAAATCTATATCATTACAGTTACCTTCAATTTTAACTTATATAAATCTTTCAGTCCTTGACGATGTATATATGTAAATTTCAATTATTTTACGTAAATACAATTCTGTATTAATTTTATAACCCACTATAATGCATATACTATTGAATGTTTTTGTTTTAGTCAGAATGCAGAGGTAATGCTTGTCATGAGTTTACATTACATTGCAATATTAAAATACATATATAACAACAGAGCGTACCTAAGACAGTATTCTATGGTATCCTGAAAACTGGAAAACGTTTTATAGACACGGAGATAAATGCAGCTACCTTATGACTACACAAGTGTCTGAAATCAGTATAAACAGCTTACAGCCATAGTTGTGATAGCTACTGTATTGTCTGAATTTTTCTTCAAACAAAGCTTTAAACAAGTCTCAATGCAATTTAAATGTATTTTAGTATGTCGCTTAACGTTAAAGATCAATAAACTGCGTCATTTGTATTAGATTTTAAATCTGTAATTTATATCCATAATTAGTGTAGCTATAGGGTGTACCTGCCTAGTCAAACCATTGTTCAAATCATTTTTTCTGATTTCTGTAACAACTAACCGTATTTAAGTCATAATGTTACCCTTATTATTCCAGAAGTGGCATTGATGGACCATTAAGTTTTCACCATTTGTGCTAAAAGCCTTCTTTACGAATTTTTTTTAACAAACGAAGACAGAAATGCTAGCTAACGGAGTATGTTGAACTGGATTTTGGACAAATCACAATAAACATCTCTGTTTGCTTAGCTATGACGCATAGTTCAAAATCCTTCTTTAT